ACCAGCCCGGTGATTCTGGGTAAGTTCCTTAACACTTTTGTGCCCTGGTTTCCCCAGGTAACAGCACTGACCCACTGGGTTATTGTAATGGTCAAATGAGTTCCTGTTTGTTTGTTTTATTGATTGTTTAGTTTTTGAAACAGGGTCTCACTCTGTCACCCGGGCTGGAATGCAGTGGCGCGATCACGGCTCACTGCAGCCTCGACCTCCTGGACTCAAGTGATCCTCTTACCTCAGCCTGCTGAGTAGCTAGGACTACAGGCACACGCCACCATGCCCAGCTAGTTTTGTTTATTTTCTGTAAAGACGAGATCTCACTGTGTTACCCAAACTGGTCTTGAACTCCTGGGCTCAAGCAATCCTGCCACCTCAGCTTCCCAAAGTGCTGGGATTACAGGCGTGAGCCATGGTGCCCAGCCCCTGCTAAATGTTTTGTAGGGGAACTTTAGGAGCCCTGTGAGGCCTTCATCTTCCTATTAGAAGCATTTCCCTTGCCCTCTTGCCATTAATTCTTAGAGAGTGTGTTTTCTCTGCCTCAGGACTTGGGATCCAGTTAGAGGACGGCGGTGATGACAGGGAGGATGCCCCAGTGAGAATGGAGTGGTACCGAGTGCTGTCAGCACGATGCCAGGGGCCTAGCCACCCACTCCCAGGTCAGAGGCCAGCCCCAGTCAGGGGCTTGGTCAGGTCTGAGCTGCCAAGAGGCGGCCCCCAACCAGGAAGAGGGGCTTCCCATGGGACTGACAAGCCGTACACCTGCCCCGAATGTGGCAAAGGCTTCAGCAAGACGTCTCACTTGACCAAGCACCAGCGCACACACACGGGCGAGCGGCCTTACAAGTGCCTGGTCTGTGGGAAGGGCTTTAGCGACCGCTCCAACTTCAGCACGCACCAGAGGGTGCACACGGGCGAGAAGCCCTACCCATGCCCCGAGTGTGGGAAGCGCTTCAGCCAGAGCTCCAGCCTGGTCATCCACCGCAGGACGCACAGCGGGGAGCGGCCCTATGCCTGCACCCAGTGCGGGAAGCGCTTCAACAACAGCTCCCACTTCAGCGCGCACCGCCGGACGCACACAGGTGAGAAGCCCTACACCTGCCCGGCCTGTGGCAGGGGCTTCCGCCGGGGCACCGACCTGCACAAGCACCAGCGGACCCACACGGGGGCAGGCTCCTTGCTGACGCTCCAGCCTGTGGCTCCTGGAGG